AATCCAAACCTGGAATATGGGTCAACCCGAAGGGTAAAGAATCCACTGGGCGGAAACTTTATTGATGACAACGGAAACACACTCCCTTTCGTCGTGGATTAGGATCCCGCGACTTCAATTTGGCAAGAATCATCTAGCAATCTACCCGGCCGGTGCTCAAATGGACGAAAGCCTCGAACCGGTGATGGGTTTCCCTTTTGAAACAAACTACCCAAAAAGTTGACCCAACAAAAAACCACCTCTTCTTGAAACCAAGTCAAGTGAACCAAACCTACCCCAACTCCCAAGACCCAAAAAACGATCTCAACCGGAAAACCCCCGGAGGGCAGTCCGTGGAAAGCCGAAAGCGCCTTGGTCCAGGTCCAGGTCGATCAGCTCCAGTTGCGACACGCTGAAGTCCAGCGTGGCGCCCTGCGCGTTTCGCGCGCGTGCGAGTGAAAGACCCCTTCCTTCGGCTGGGCTCACTATTGCACCATGATCAAAGTCACCAAAATGACCCCTTTCTTCGGTCCCCTTGGGTCAGACTTCGCTTTTTTCGGCCTTCTGTTAAGGGGAAAGGAGACCAAATTTAGGGATCCCAAGGCCCTGAAAAACATTTTAGGGGATCCCATATTGGTTCATTCCCAAACAAACCCTTGTTGATTCCCTGAGAGCCAGCAAAACCACGATTTCTCCAAAAAGGGCACAACAGGTCCGTGGACGTTCCCTTCGGACGTAAGCCACAAGGAGGTTCCCTGCTCCGAGCGCGCGAGGCGAGCTGCAAGGCTGTAAGGCACAGCAAAAGACGGCGGTGTGGGACCCCGCGGATTAGGCAAGATCGGCTTGGGTCGAGCCAAGTTCAGCAAATCGTACTCCGCTCCAATCACACCTTTGTAGGCCCAAACACACAATGGACCTGGAGAACTCCTACAACCATTTTGAGTATAAACTTGAATTGGGAAAATGTTTGGCAGACTTGCTTGACATGCCTTCAATAGGGGATGAGCAGCCATCCATCCGTATTTGGCTGCGATTCCAATTCTCGGGCCGAAACTCTGATGAAACTGATCTAAGTTGAGTCTGCCAGCTATGAGATGGGGACAACATGTTTTGGGGTATCAACGTGCAAACCCATCTCTTGCACTTTCTGTGGCACTTCAATATCTTTGAAGCAGTTGGAACCCCTCCCCCGCAATTCACGGGCACCACTTGACTCGTTGCCCGAGTGGACATCGGAAGGATTGGGTTTGTCCCCCTGGATTTGCAAACCAAATTTCCCAGTTGCCTGAAGGACCCAGAAACAAAGCTTCACCTTTCGGAACCTTGGACCAGAAAGGGGAATTTGCCAAAAGGTCAAAAGGCCGATTCGCTTTGAAATTGAGATATCTCCTAGAAAACGGTTTGGATGAGATGTTTGTGGATTTCAAAATGTTCCCCCGGTCTTTTTCAGCCATCTTTCAGTACCGTCTTCTGGAACTCTGAGAGTCGACTCGCCCGGACATGGCTCGCCCGAAGGGCCCCACTCTCCGGCCCGGAAAGCCAGCCTTCAGCGTCAGCACCGTGGGATCGGTGGAGAGGCACAGCTGCGACTGCGTGTAGATGGCCAGCTGCGCGTAGCTTTGCCGGGCCATAGAGGGCACCTGGCCGGCGGAAAGATGTCTTTCTCCGGAGGTCGCTCGCCGGCACCGAAAAAAAAAGGAAAGAAAAGTGTCTGACTCTTGGCCCCGAAAAAAAAAGGGTGGGTGGGAAGCCGTGCAGGGAACCCGAAGATCTCAGAAGCTGCCAGGGAAGCCTTTATGTTTTGTTGGTTTGAAGGGAAGCCACCCATTTTGGGGCATCGTTTGGAGACAAGCCGATGTAACCCAACTCGGGAGCCAACCAACAACACAACCCGGATATGTTTACCTCTATGTTCGCCATGGTTCCCCCGGTTGCTGGAACTGGAAGCACTAGTTCAACAGTTTAAACCAAAGGCGGCCTTTTGGAAAAACAGATGGCCCTGGTAAATGGAATACGCCCCGTCTAGACCAGTGCCATCTTTTTCTTGCCAAACTCACCTAAGAAGGACACCTATGGTTTAAACACCCTCCTTTTGGTTTCCAAAAACCAGGATATGTTGGATGAAATGCCAACCCTGGGGCTTTGGGCCAAAATAGTTCAACGAGCCAGGCCCATACGTGGCAAACACCTCACAAAACCTAGTGGACGCATCACTCAAATGCCACCAAAGTTGGCACAGTTTGTTGCTCACACCCACACTTGGGGGTGTCTCAAAGTTGTGCAAAAGCTTGGTATTCAAAGGGAAACCAAGAGGAAACCTCGTAGGGAATTCCTATTTTGAGAACCCCCCTCATATGCCCCCTGTTAGTTCATCCCATGTTTGTTGTTTGGACACCAACCATTTTAGTGGACCTCAAACAAAGTGGGAAACCCCATATGGCTGATGACGATTTTCAATACTCTACCACGACATTGTGTACCTTAAATGCTTGGTGCTCCAACTACTGCATCACATCCATACTTCACGAATATACATGATCATCATTTTACTTTACGACCATACTTTAAGAACATAAATCATCACTACTATATTCTATGATTCAAATCTCAAAATCTGTCTAAAAATATGTCTAATAAGATAAATTATATACTACTCACTTCTACCAAAAAGGGTTTGTTGTTTGCCACTCAATGGTCTTCCCTAAAAGTTTGAAGTCCAAGAACTCAGGGAGTGAGAATGCTGTGGATGGCAGAAATCCATTTCGCGCCACCTAGGAAACCCCGGTTTCTCGTGATTCCCTTGGAAATACCAACAAGCAATGGGTTTTCAACCATGGTTTCAAAGGTGGTGCGAACGGATTTCGAAACTATCCACAGTATGGGTGTTTCTATATATGGTCCCGTGTTCCGTGTTGCTACCCCCCCCCCCCCCATATGGTATGGTCCCCCAGGACCCCCCCCCCCCTGGCCCGAGACCCCGAGCCCCCGGATCCTGGCACCTACGGTCCCACCCCCACCCCGACCCCTGAACTCGCACCCCGACACCCCGACACCCCCACCCCCAGGACAAGCCAACCCGCAACCAACCATAAACCAACCCTAAACTAACCCTAAACCAACCCTAAATACACCCTAAACCAAACCCTAAACCGTAGACCTCTAAACCTAAACCAACCCTAAATCAACATAAACCAACCTAAACTAAACCAACCCTAAACTAACCCCAAATACACCCTAAACCAATCCCTAAACAATAAACCCTAAACCTAAACCAACCCTAAACCAACCCTAAATACACCCTAAACCAAACCCTAAACCGTACACCTCTAAACCTAAACCAACCCTAAACCAACCCTAAACCAACCCTAAACCAACCCTAAACCAACCCTAAACCAACCCTAAATCAACCTAAATCAACCCTGAACCAACCCTAAACTAACCCTAAATACACCCTAAATATACCCTAAACCAATTCTAAACCAACCCTAAACCACCACAACCCAACCACAGGACCACAACCACAGGGGGGGGGGGGGTACTTGTCTGACCCATGACCATTGGGGGGGGAGGGGGGGGGGGGCTGGCAACGCTGTACCATATATATATATATATGTACACATGCAATGTGTATGTGAAATCAAAAGGAAACTTTGGACACCCTCCCCCCCCCCCTCCCCCCCAGCTGCGTCGCCACTTGCTTAAGTCCCCTGGAAAAAATATTAAACATACATATGTCCAGTAGTGAAATCGACTTTCTGAAAACAACTAAGAGAGGAAGAGCAAAAACCCATTCATCTCAGCAAATGGAAGGTCTGGGACTTGATTTTGGTGAAAATCCACCTGCCACGCTTGGGCCTTTCACCTTGGCCGAGGGGCCGTGAGGTTGGACTCCGCGCTGGACAAAGAGGCCAGGCGCAGGGCCGAGGCGCCCAACTCATCCTGCAGCTCCACTTGGTAGACCTGGGCTGCGAGTCTTCGGATTTTTGTTTGGAGCGGGGACGGGGAAACGAGGAGTTGGAGCGCTTTTTGTTGGGTTGGGAAACCATAAAGGCTGGAAGCCATGTTGGATGTTGTAAAGGGTTGCGGGGCATGTTTTGGAGGTGCGCCTTTTGGGGGTTGCTTAAGAAGACAACTTGCTTCCTTGCACATCCAAAAACGCAGCCCCACGCCGGGAAACCACGCAAGGCCTGAACAAAGTCGCAGCTGGGCACCTGCCAGCACGCTGGCAGTGAAAAACCGAGACCACTTTTGTGATAAAGTAGGCAAATTGAGAACGGGACCCAGCCTGAAGCACAGAGTTTAGGGCAGATATTAAGGGAGACAAGGAGGGACAAAGGGAGACAAGGCCGCAGGAACCCTCCTAACAGAGCCGTGATGAATCCCTACAAAACCAGGGACCCCCTACTCATCCGGGGTTCCCACTTCAAGATCGCTTCAAACCGTGCCAGCCCTGAGCTCGTCTTGCTAACACCGAGGCCCTGCCGAGAGGCCAAGACCCTCTCGTAGTCGCTGGCATGTTCCCACTCCACGCTTCCCGCCAAGTTGTCCAGGTTCAAGTCCTCTGCGAAGTAGCCTAGGTCTCAGCATCCAAAAACAGACACACACACACACACACGCACTAATATCTATCTATACATGCACAATGCGCAGACAAATATATGCATGTATTCATATGCATATGGGCGTGCCTTGCTTGAGGGAATTTGTTTGGGCTTGTGGGAAAGGGAAGCCAACCAACTTGCACAAGGCGCCTGACTGATCGCTGCAGTGCAAAGCATGCGTCTAATAGCAGGTGATGAATTCACTTTCCAAGGGACTACCTCTGATTTGCTGATGGGCATGCTGGTTTGTCAGATCAAAGTGCTCAGCAGCCATCATTGAGTTAATGTAAATTACAAACAATTGATATATTCAAGTTGAAGTGAATACCCTGTCGCGCAAAGGAACTCGGCAAGCCATTTGCCAATTCGATGCTGCCTATTCAAAGTATGGCATAACATTCTCTCAACCATCCGAGGGGCTGATGTTTGACACCTGCGCATTCGCGTTGTCCAGCTCAAAGATCACTGGGTAGGTCTGCTCCTCGGGTGAAATGGGTGCCCTTGCATGGCTTTAAAGGGAAAAGAATAAGAGAACCGCTTGGTTCAGGTTTAACGGCAAACTCAAAGGACAACCAAGCATTTTGGCTGTCCAAATCCCTATTTGCCACATACCGACCCATGAGAAGCCCCTTTCTGGAAAAGCTAACCTCCATGGACGCACCCAAAACCAAACTGTGCTCCAAGGCCGCGGCCGCGAAAGCTGTGGCGGTGTAGAGCAGCATGTGGGTGTAGCCCTCAAGTTCCTGCCGTTTGCAGCTGCAGCCTTTTTTCTTCTTCTTTTTCGGGGGGAGAAGGGGTGCTGCTGCTTTGTCGGGGGAGAAGAGGTGGGTGGGGAGCTAGATTTCCTATGTTGCAAGTAATGCCCTTCCCGGTTTCCCCCGCAACCTGGTACTTTACAATGGTTTGTGATATGTTTGCTTGCCCTTTCGACCTTTTACCCCTGTAACCCGTTGCCTTGGCTGTGAAGTCATCCCGGAACCACCCGGGGGTCGATGGCGCGTACGCAACTCCGAGGACCCTTCACAGGCAAGCCCGAGCTCATCACAGCCAAAAGGCTGTCCCTGATCTGAGAGCAGCTTGGGTTCGGTATGTTTAGGCAGATCAAAGGAGGCCCTGAAGAAGTCTGCGAGAAATACAAAACCAATCGGAACCGCGGCTTTGGCATGGTAGTACCCGACTCTACACATCTCACATCTCACTCTTAGAGCCGGGCTGTGTCGCAGGGAAGCACAAGCCTTGGCTGAGAGATGACCAAGCCATCCCTCTCGTGCCGGCCACTTCGCAGCCCCTCCCTGGTGCCCACTGGCCCACTATGCAAGTGTTCAAGGTCTAGTGCAGGAATCATTGGAGTTTGAGAACAGCCCCGGGTTGGGGCCCCGGGTTGTTTCTAAGCGGCAGGCCGCAAATCCTCAGGCGATTTGAATGAGACCGATCACGAACACCACGGCCAGCCCAAAACCGGCCACGGTTCCAAGCAGTCTGGAACCCGGAAACCGAAGACCAAGCTAGCGGGGCCTCATGCTCTGAATGAAATGGCTTGATGCACTCCAAAAGACTGGGCCCTCCACCAAGTACTCTTTCCTATGTCGAGGTGGCAGTCTTCAACCACCCTAAGCATCTTTGAAGACTCCATTGGAGGGGTAAGGGCCTCTGCATAGGAAGGCGTCGGGTTCTGAGGGTGGGACCTCTCTGCATTGCCAAGCTTAGCCAACCTTTCGCCCTTCTGCCCCTTGTGGTGTCCCTCATTTTGCTTTCGTCCTTGAACCCAACACCCAACAAAAGCGCAGGGTGGCCGTTCCTCGCATCCGCGCGGCCGCTGGGTATCTCCCAGCTGCGTGGTGGACAGCGTGGTGCTGGTGGTGCCCGTGGTGGTGCTGGTGGCCGTCGTGGTGGTGGAGCTGAAGTTGTTGGACACATTCCAACCTGACGAGTCCTCCTCGAAAGGGTGCCCGATTTCTTTGGGCTGTGGTTGTCAAAAAAAGTAGCCCAAATGGCTTGCCCTGGTAAAATGGAGAAAAACAAAAGGGAGACCACCTGGCTTTCTACTGGGGGGTCCTCTTTTTTGAATGGTACCCATTTGGGCAGTATTCTTTGAGGGCAGTCGGTCGAAGGTTCAGAAGGGAAAAGCCAACCCGGTGATTTCGGGTTCCCCCTGTTTTCAGACAAATCCGCTTTCCCCCAAGCATCACCCCGGAAGGAAGCACACGTTCACAGGAACCCCAACGGGAGTATAACGAGGCCTATATAAGCCGAAAGTTCCAACTGGGAAATCCAGCGACAAAAGGCATCCTTCTGCGGAACAGGAAACCAAACCAGTAGCTGTGTGCGTGTGTTGGAGGGCAGTATCCTTAGGTTGGTGTAAAGAAGGGAAGCCGCCATTTGGGAAGGGTCTCTCCATACCCTCAAAAACAGGGTCCCCAGTTCCGCACAGCGTGGCAGGCAACGGCAGGACCAAACGCTCGAACGCTGCCTGGGGTGTCCCATTTGGCCTCGCCTTCGGGCCTTCTGAAACCCGAGGCCTGAGCAAATTTGGGCTGCCAGCGTTTGCTGCGAACCCCCACAGATTTTTGTGCACAGAGACCGCGGTACATGAGATAGATTTGACGCATGGCACGCGACGCATGACACATGCATAGATCAGAAGTTAAAGCTTAGCGCAGCAATCGAAGCTTGGCCACTGGAAAAAGAATACCCAAAGGGGCCAAGAGCAATTCTCTACACTGAGGTTGGCGTGATCGCTGTTTTGAGGATCGGAGAGAGATATCGCCGCTGACAGGTAGAAACATGTAAGGAAGTGGTGCGCGAACTGCTACGCAAATCTCGGATGTGCTGCCGTCGACCTATCAAACGGTGCATAAGGGGTCCAGCCAGAAAAGGTGTCGCCCAAAAAGCTGGATCCTCAAAAAGGGAGGTTTCCTTTTGGTTTCCCTCTAAGCATCACCGCATTTGGGACCTCCCCAAGTCCCAAATGAGACCCGAGAAATGCGGCCCAGTGTCCATCAGCGGTCATGGTGGTGGTAGATGTGTGCACCTTGCAGGTGACACTTTGGTGGCTTTCCTGTTGTTTCCCTTGAACCCAGCCCAATAAGGGTACCCTCAAAAAATACACAGCCACATAGAGCTTTTGGATTTGTTGGCGAGTCGGTCTGTTCTTGACGTGGAGCTACTAGTCAACATTAGGTGGACCGTCCGCAGGGCAACCCATTTTAAGCCAATCCCACTCAAAGGTAAGAGAAGCCAGCCACAAACTAGTTCGAGAACCCCGAAGGTCATTTAAGGCACCCAGTTTAACAAGGACAAGTTTAATCTGTTGCCTCAAGTAAACTACTGTACCAAATATCAATGGAACTGGACATGGATTGCCTGGGGTCAATCTCAAGTTGACTGGTATGGGGATAGGCATGAGAGCGTGAAACTACTTAGCACGAAGAGTCGGGCCGAGTCGGGAACATAATTCGACCTAAAATACAATGAACCTCGGTCGTAACATATGTAGGCACCGGCTTGGACAAGGCAACTGCACGACAAAATAATTTGCTGGTTGCGTGTTTGTTCGATTGCTTTCTTGTTTGTTTGATTGCTTGTTTGATTGCTTGTTTGTTCGTTCATTTGTTTGTTGCAGCAATGTCAGTCCAAATGCGCCCAGATGCAGTAGCATCCGAGCCACATTGTTGATTTGACCGTTTCAGAGACGTGATGAACGTTTTCAGAGACCTTAGAGTTCCCAATGATCATGATCCTATGAGCCCATGCCGTCGCCCACGGCAGCACAACACCACAGAACCCAAAACAGCCAGCGACGCCTCAATTGGTGTTCCTGCAAGACGTTTAACATGATAAGCATCGTATGCAAATGTGCGAATGCAAACCTTGCAACAGGATCCCTTCCGTCCACTTCTCTGTCGCTCGTGGAACAGTCCAGCTGCACCTCTTACCATCAAGCAGAGCTAAGTGGGGCAGAGACCCACCGGCCGATTGGGTCCCTTGGATCCAAACGCATCACAGTTCTCAAAAACTGTCCTCTCGCAGCTTGCGCTGTGAGTTCCTTCTCGTATCCAATTCAAACTCCCTCTCGCAATATCTGAACACATGTTGCGGTTGCGATTTTGGGCTTGAAAACCTCCGCGCCCGCTGTCTGCTCGATTGGGTAAACCCTTTGCGACCCGAGCCGCCGAAGCGACTTCTTCATAGGACACGTTGAAGGGGTAAGGCGCGCGCTCGAGGACGCCGTCCACATAGCCTAAGCCGGCGAAACTGGAAAAATGGGCAAAATCCGCCAGAGTTTCTGGCCCGCAATGTGGAAGCCCTCCAGACAATACTAAGCTTGATGGCAAAATGCCCCACAAGTTTGACGTCTTGCAAGCTTCTGGGGACAAGAACCATCTTCCCAAAAAGTTGAAGGTTTAAGATCCAACCCATAGCATTCAAGGAAGGCAGGGTTCTGTGGGTCCGCGTTTGGGCCAGGGCTGCTGAAGCTTTTCCAACTGAGCACCGCACGCGCCATATAGAGCACGAAGTGCGTGACCTGTGGGCCACGGGCCGTTTTGCGTCGGTCAAATCCAATTTTTCCACTTGCGCCGTGGTCAGAACTCCTTTTGGTCATGGGTCCTGTTGGAATCCCCTTCTCAGGGTGGTCTAGATTCCTACCACCTGCAAGTACAAAGGTCGTTTGACTATGGCACAAATGGAGACTGAAAAGGACAAGCATAAGGGTGTCTGGCCACCAATATTTCTGGGCTCATGAAAACTCCCTGGGGCAGCTCCTGGATTGTGTGTAAACTGAACTGATCAAGTGGTCGAATGCCATGAATTAGAGGCCCGAACGACAGATATACGTTGCCTTATTACCGCTGTCGAAAACTTGGACACGGGTCCTCAACTCTCACACACACAGAATCAAATTAAAAAAAAATAACAAAAAAAAATCCGTCGCAAAACTACTGGGGCCGAGCCGCCACGGACGTGTCCTCCGGTGGGTCATAGATCAGGACACCGGCGATGTGGTCCTTGTCCAAGTCATAATCCACAAAGGTCACCTGAGAGGCGTCTCAAAAAAAACAATGGACCCGTCTCACAATGAGGTTCCAAAATGAGTCGTTTGCTTTTGGTTGCCCCTCAAGGTTGAAGAAACACCCATGCACCATCATAGAAAATGCGCTCAGGGTGCCTGTGTAGAACGGCTGACTGCCTGTTCCACCGCCGGAATGCCACCTTAGACCCCGAAAACCTGAACGCCTATGGCCGCTCTTCCACCGGGTGACATGAGCTCTCCAAATGATCCAGTTTGTGCCCTGGAATCCAGCGGAAGCTGCAGGGGGTTGTCGTTTTGCTGGCGGCAGACCCATCACTGGATCCCCGCCTGTACTCACACAAATGCATTCTCTGGCGCAAGGCGTATGGCGTACCCGTACCCCTCAAACATGGTTGCTCCAATGACCCTGGCTAGAAAATTGACGGGCAAAGGAACCCTCTTCACCATTGGAAGAATCACACGCTTCTTTTGGCGCTGGGACTCGGTCGGAGTCGTTCGACACCAAACCCAAAGCAGGGCCCAAAACCCAGTGACTTTGGTTCCAACAAGAAATGGCAAAGGTTTATGTAGGCCGCACTCAGCCTGCCAGATGGTAGAACTATCTCAGGCTGGAGCTCAAACTCCTATGCTGCCTGCAAGAGCAGGCTAGTGCATACAGCAAGAGAAGAATCGCACGCATACGCCACATCTCACACGCCTCCATTGGTGGTGTGCTGGCTCTCTTGGCAATCTTAGCCAACCATGGGACCCCAAAGGGTATTTGAGCAGTCCTCTACGAAATTTCACCAGCATCAGGGATCCATTAGCATGGGACTATCATAGAGCTCGCTTTACCGGGGAAGCCAGCCGAACTGATTTCTGGCGGTAGTGTTTTGTGAGCATGCTAGCACTCCGCCCCTTTTAAAAGGGAGTTTGCAAGGGAAACCAAAAGGACGCACCAGGGTAGCAGGGTTGGACGGGTTTGCTTAAACCAGCCCGGCTTCGGTCTTAGGGAAACCAAAAGGAGGACTAGTTAAAGCACGTTTCAAGGTGGACCAACCAGCCAACGGCTAAAACGACGGCCTTCCCAGAACCAAGTTCTCAACACCAGCGCTTAACACGCCGCACGCGGCTCAAAACACAGCCCAAGCCGAGGTGCATTGGTCACATTCTCCGCATTGTCCACCAAGGAAATGGCCGTGGGAGTGCTGCCCTCTGTGGAGGAGGAGCGTGTGAAGACGGCCAAGTAGGTGGACCTCGAGATATGAAGGCTGATCAATATTCCCTTTAGGGCCCCCAGTTTTGACCATTGGTAACTTTGTCCATTTAGTGGGACATTTTCTGGTTTTTAGCGGTTTTTGCAGGTCATGGGACCCTTGTAAAGGACCTTTTGATCAACCCGCATATGGCAAAATGTCTCAAGCAAGGGGGGCCCAAAGACAAAAGGCACAAGGAACCCTATTAGCTTCCAGGTCCCTTTTTGAGCCCTTGGCCCAAAAAGAAATCAGTGAGGGCTGACTCACTCGTCTTTTTTTCATGTGGGTGTGTCTTTTGTAGATTGGAACCCCCCAAATGGCTCTAGTTTTCCTTGTCTAGGTCCTCCAGTGGAGATGTTAGAATAGGGGTACCCTTTTTTCTGTAGTCTATTTTAGTAGGGAACCCTCCCCCAAAAAAGGTAAAAGGGCACTACTGGGGGACCTAGTTGTGGTTCCCCTCTACAAACAAAGGCGCCCAAGACGACTGAGCCGAACTCCAGTGGTGGCCTGTGACCTTTTGATTCAGCTTGGGTCCATCAAAAAATCATACCCAAGATGGTTTGGGAGGGAATGTTCTTGTTTTCCCCCATAGGTGTCCTTTTGGAAAAACATAGATGGCCCTGGTACATAGAATAAAACCCGGCTAAACCGGTGCGTCTGTTTGTTTTTTTATTATATTTGGTTTAATCAATCCAACCTAACAAGGACACCTAGGTTTATTCCAGAGCAAATGGGTGTGGCTCGTTTTTGAGGCTTGATGCCTTTTCAGGTTGGTTTAGAGGGAAGCCACCAAGGAAAGCCACCATTTTGACACATACCCAACTCACTTCCTGAGTGGATTTTCCAAAACAAACAAATATTGTTGCGTTTGCCGCTAAAATGGTTTTCTCAAAAGGCATGAAGTCTAGGAACTCAGCAAGTGCCAAATGGCTCAAATCTTGGGAACTTCTGATCCTGGGTTCCATCTGATCAAGTCTAGGCCATTCGGCAAAAGGCAAGCGCTGGCAATTGAACACCCCTAAGTCGGGGCCGGTTGGACCACCAAAACAGGGGGGGGTTCTGCAGAAGATGAAGGAGCTCTTTCCTTCAGAGACAAACCAGCCCCCCATGCCTGCCCTTCAAGAACAAGGAACTGTTGGGGGTTCTTGAACCAGCCCCCCACGCGTGCCCCATGCCGGGCCAGGCAAACCTGGTGTTGCTCACTCCCCCCGTTCGACAGAAGGGCAAGTCCGCAAGGGATCGCCCAACCGTCCAAGCCACTCGCTCTGCATGGAACCTCTCTAAAGAACCCAAGAGCCTTCCTGGAGGCATGGCAATTGACTGAACCCAATGACTCCACTCATTGTTCAAACATCCTCTGTTCAAACCACAATCCATACGTTTTTGCTCATTCAAACATCCTCCGTTCAGTGTTCAGACATCCTTTGGCTTTTGGTCACCAAGCAAACAGTTGAGTCCCCTCTCCTCTGACTGGCATGAGTGCCCGGCTGCAGGATTGCAGTGCCCTCCTGCATACTCGCGATGTCGATGAAAAACACAATGAACAACCCAGGATTTGCAAACTCCTGCTTGATGTTCATCTATCGGGGGTGCCCCATCAAGCGGGTCCTTCATTTTTGGTTTAAATTGCCAGGTAGGCGTGTCACGTTGGTACAACTATCAGCACACTTGGTACAACAGGGCAAGTGTACAAATGACCCATGAAGAGAAACCAAGCCATCACGTGAAGGGAGAAAAGTGCAAACGGGGCTGGGTTGCGGTTTCTGCACAGGTCTGTGTGTGTGTGTGTGTGTCACTGGGTTGCCTTGCGACAAACATATTTGACACAATCAAGGGCATGTTGAAAGAGGATCCGATTCACACACACGCCCTTGGTCAGAAAACACTTCAACCACTTGATAATCCTTGGCCTTTCTGAGAGGCTGAAAGCTTCCAACTAAACTGCTGTTTTCAGATTGGTGGGTGTTTACTAGGCACTGGAAAGATTAAACACTCACCCATCCCCTTTGGGCTTCCTTTTGGGACAATTCACAAATATGGTCTGTTTAGCACCCAGATTGGCTTGTCACACGGAGTCGCTTCAGGAATCCTAATATTCGGCATGTGTCAAAGGAGAACGCCCCAGAAAAGTAGCTTTGGCTTAAACTGACCCAAAAACAAAGGTAGCTTCCAACAAAACGAGCCACACCCCATCTCCCTTGGGAAACTACCATTCATCCGTCCACATTGGCTTGAACTGACGGCTCCTGCAAAGTGGATGTCACAGCCTCAGACCGGAGCTGCCAGAAAGAGGCCCCTGAATGGCTGGTTTGGTGGCTGCTTGCTTGCTCGCTTGGTCTTGCTTTGCTAAGTTAAATTTTGGCTTTGCTTCGTTCTGTTCTGTTTGTTTGTTTGTTTGCTTGTTTCATTGTGTTTGCCCTTGCTTCCCCAATTTGGGGGTCCCAAACAGTCGAGGCTACCTTTTAGCTGAGACCAGAACAAATCCGCGAACGGCCCCTATTTCAGCGGAAAGATGCACCGACGCCTCCCCAAAAAAGACCACCATACAACAAATCAGGACAATATTTCCCATAATGAAACAGGGCGCATGCGCTAGGAGTTGGACCCTTCAGTATCCAGGTGGGCAGGTGTGCCTTTTGGTACCCTTTTGTGGGTCTAAAACGGAAACCAAAAACACAACTACAAACTTCGCGGTGGCGCTTTGGTTCCCACACACCATCTGCTTTCGCAGGTAGGTCAGAGGGCTTTCCTTCTTACATCCCAAACCACTAGCCAAGAAGATATGAGGTGTGCGGAGTCAAACTCATGGACATGTGTTAAATTCGGGAAGCTCGGGGTTGCTCCCATTCAACCCGAGAGTAGAAATGCCCTAAAACTCAACCAAACCAACTTTCTTGCGTGGTTTGGCCACACGGCCAAAGGAGCAGATTTGAAGCTGTCTCACCAGCCCACTCCACTTGCCATACTTCGGCACTTCGACAGCACCGGCTCGGCAGCACAAACAATCGCAACAAAAAGGTGCCGGAAATTGAGTTTGAGCGCTAGCCATGCTCCGGAAAAGAGTGAGAGCCAGGATCGAATGTCCTCCAAAGGCAAGGCGCTACCGAAAATAATGTACTGATTTGCATGGGCGGGCGCACCCACTGACCCTGGGGACTATCTCTTGTTCAGCTTCAGCTGCCCGGATATCGATTGTGGCCATGACAGCGGGAGATGAGGAATCTTCCGCACCTCTTGCGCAAATTCCAAAACCTCAAACAATTGACCACAGACGGTGAGTGCGGTGGACCCAAAGATGAGGACTACAAACGCGCTGCAACAAACCGAAAACCCAAAACCGCTTGCTAGTAAAAGGCTGAGCATGGAAAGCAAAGGCCAGAAGGATTAGTGGTAGAGCTCATAGTTGGAGACTACTGTTACCCTTCTGACCCTCTGGTAACCCCTCAACGAGCCAAACAAAACCTTCCTCCTTCCACCCTATGTTTTCCCGAAAGGCCTTGTTTGTGTCCAAACTGGGTTCCTTTTGTGTCCAAACTGGCCTCACCCCGTGGAAACCGAACTCCGAATTGCCAACCGAAAAGCAAGATTTAATCAACAGAAAACGACATGCGGTAGATTCCCCACCATAATACATGTATTGCGAGCAACCCAACCACATCAAGTCACGAAGCCCTTGTATGTTGCGGTAAGTTGCAGGGGGTCCAACCTTTCCATGTTTGAGCCGGGTCTGATGCACCTTTAACGGACTTGCGAAAACTAGAGACTCCCCAACCCAGTGGCCATGAAAAGGAAAGGCACTCTTGATTTGTTGGTTTATCTTCAAGGGAAACCTCGACAAACGGAAAAAAGGCCACCACTGGGTGTGCGGGCAACCGGTACTCAGCTCCTGTGCCCATAGCGTCAAGAAGCCGTGCCCTCTTCCGTGAGGAGGTCGCGCCGGTCCACGGTGCCAAGGGCATCCTGGCAGAAGACCACGTGGTAGGCCGCCTCGGATCG